TAATGTTAATTTTCAATGTTATTCAAATTATCCCTTAAAATTGACTTTCATTAAAATTAGGGGAGTAAATCAGATAATGACGCTGCGTCTCAGAATTTATAGAATAATATTTCATATATTGGGTAAATATTCTTCAAACATGTAAAATTCCTGCTACATATTCAATTTAGGGATAAAATTATTACTTTTCGAGAAATTCTTCAAAAAGTTTGAAATTATTCAAATTACCCCGCTGTACCCTATGTAATTTTGCTTGAAAGAACGCATATCTTAATGTATCTTAATGCTAGTATATGATATATAATAGCTGATGTCTCCTTAGTGTCTCCTCTGTAAAGATTCTTGATTCAATAGATTCATTGATTTCAATCGTCTGGGCTTATACTATATTTCGAATAAGTACTATTTTTAAGTCAAAATATTTGTAATTAATGACTTTATCCAAATAGTAAAATGATCGCAAATTTTATTGTTATAAATTTTATTGTTATTGATCAATAAAATATTTTAAATGGAGTTTTAAAAGATCCAAAAATGATATTTTATTTTCAGAGAAAATTATCTTCTGATTTACTGTTTGCAAAAAACAAGATTAATATATAACATAAGATTATGGTTTATGTTCTAGCAAAATCCAGTTAACTAACAGTAATATAATTGTAATATATAACACTTGTATTATAGATATATTCCAGTCAACTAACAAATTGTATTATAGATATGTTCCAGTCAACTAACAGTAATATAATTGTAATATATATAACACTTGTATTATAGATATATTATATGTATATAATACATGTATTATAGATATATATAAATATATTATTGAGTAGTAAATTATAACTAACTAACATATTATTGTTCGTTAATGTTTGCTGGGACACTTTCAAACATTATTTGATTCTTATTATTCAACATCTGTAAAAAAAAGCCGAAATAATGAGGAGTGTCAAATATATATTAAATAAATGGATTTCGAAATATGTTTTAAATGAACTCTCTTTTTGATGTCTTTAATATGATTTTTGCATGAATAGTCACCGGAAAATGTTTAGAAAACTTTTTTTTTATTCCTGAAGTAAAATAATTTTTGTTGAAATTTTTATTGAAATATAATTGTACAAAATCATAATTTTTCTACTTATAATAACTTTTTCATACTGTTTAACATAATAATATATTATTTTGTTTAATATCTTTAGCAAGCGTATATCATTTTGATATTATATTTATTATTAAATACAAATATTAAATATAAAGCATGTTTACATTAATGATGTCGAACTGATAAAAAATGACGATTATATGTAAGTCACTTTATAATTACGTATTACTGAAGATATTATTTCATATAATTGTGACATAATATTTTAGTCATGCTTGTAATGCTTTATTTTACGCATTGAAGATATATCGAAATTTAAAGATAAATTTTTCCCTTATTTATATTTGTTATTTTATAATTGGTTGCATTTATAATTTATCTTAAATGTAATATAAATGCAATTTGTTTAAGATTTGAACATTATTTCGCTAACTTTTAAAACTGCCTGTATAAGCGAACTGTTTCCACCACTCTTATTGTTTACGCCGATTTCGAGAGCGAGGAATTCGCCCTCGCCGAGCACTATACGTTTGAGCGTCGTATGAGTCAGTCGCCTTTAAGCATTGTACAAGAGAATAAATTATCAAGCTATACGGTACTGCAGTCTCGTTATTAAAAGAAACCAGTGTCTAAGTGAAGTTGTTACTCCACCATTGCATTCTCCACTATTTGGACTAAAGCTCCGTCACTTCAATGTGTGAGTGAAAGAAGAGCAAGAAGTGGAGAACCCTTTTTTTGTTGTTGCAATATCTATCTATAATAATCGTTGTAACAGAATGGTCCTTCGAGCTGGATGTTTAACAATCAAAAAGAGTGTTAAACAATTCAAGCAAGAAATTTTAACATTTTTTAAAAGTTTCGGGCGAACGCAATAACTTCCACGAGCGCAGCGACGGATCACGTGCACGCACCGTGCCTTAAGTAACTTACATGAGTACAACAACATTCCAGTGATCGGCAAAGTTATCATCCATTGTGAGAAGTTACACGATTCGAGCCACGTTTTGTCAGCGTCACTGAACGCGCTCCGAAAACGAAAATTCATTCGTATCAAGCGTCGAGTGGGATACACGAGAAGCAACGAAGGCTAGTTGCACGATGCAATTGGCTCTCTCTCGTGTCTGACGAATGGACCTTGCGAGGCGAGAATTGTGTTGTGTAGTCGTGTGGAACACATTATTCAAATGTGAAATAAGGCGACCTTGTGTACTCATCTCTGTGACAAAATAAGTCCACGGAAAGACGCTTGCCCATTAATTGTATTGAACGCGTACATTCTTACATTCCGACGAGGCGACGTCATACCGAAATCATCACCATGACTACTCTCGAAGAACTCAAGGCCAGCCAAATATCATTATTTGGCTTAATCACGAGAGCTACGGAGAATTTCAGGAAGGTCGGCAAAGCGGAGAGAACGAGCGTCAAGGCATGTAACAGACTGGATAATCTACGAGGCTATTGGGAAAAATTCCAAAATCAACATACCAAGATACTCTGCCTATGCGACGAGACAACGCGAACCACAGATGAGTATTTCACGGATGACCTTTATGAAATTGCCATAAGCGCCTTTGATGCTGCGTCGGATGTCTTTGTCGAGTTCATAGCTAACCAGGAAACTATAAATCAATCACTGCTTGGTAATACAACTGCCCTCCCCATCATCGAGTCTCCTTCGCGTATTAAACTTGAACGTATTCCTGTTCCACAATTTAATGGCAATTATTTAGACTGGGCTCAATTTCGGGATACCTTTCAATCCTTGATCCACACGAATAAATTCCTAACTAACGTTGAGAAACTTCATCATTTAAAAAATAAATTAATCGGAGAGGCGGCAATTTTGAAGAATATAACGATTACGGATACTAACTATGAAGCTGCCTGGCATCTCATGGTAAGCCGTTACGAGCATACGCGCGTTATTGTAAATGCTCACTTGCAAAAATTAGTTGATCTTCCCAAGCTAACTCGAACCTCTGCAACCGATTTAAAGAATCTACGAGATAACGCGGAAAATATTCGTGCTGCGTTAATCAATCTTAATCGCCCAGTCGATGCTTGGGATAATCTTTTCAATTTCATGATTATTTCTAAATTCGATCATCATACCCTGCGCGAATGGGAAACGAAGATCAGCGAAAAAAAAGAAATGCCTTCTTATGCGGCGATTGAGAAGTTTTTGTCTGCGCGCATTTGAGCTACTGAAGCAGTGAATATGGCTTCTACGAACTCGCAAATCAAAACCGAAAAATCTATAAAGAATGCAAAGAGCCAGAAATCACACACTAGCGTAAAATCACATCAAACCACTGCTACAAAGCTCCAATGCCCCGCATGCGGCAGCTCTCATTTACTATATCAATGTCAAAAGTTTATCAGCTTAACCGTCAATGAAAGACGATCGCTCTTAAATAATAAAAGCCTTTGTTTCAATTGTCTAGCACCGGGGCATTCGGTACAGCAGTGCTATTCGAAGAGAATCTGTAGTGTATGTCAAAAGAAACATCATACTATGGTGCATGTAGAAACAAGCCCTAAGAACGCCATGATTAATCAAACGGATTCTAATCGCATGAATCAGGTTTCTTCGACAAGCTCTGCTGCGACCACGGTCGACAATGCGATTATTTCAAACAATCATGTCGCAAACTTACACTTTAATCAAACTATTCTGCCCACGGCGATAGTAAATCTGCATGCGAATGGACGTACTTTGCGAGTGAGAGCCTTGCTCGACCAGGGTTCGCAAGTGTCATGCGTCACTGAATCCATTGTGCAACTTTTGAAAATGAAAAAACAACCCATCTCAGTTGAAATCACGGAAATCGGCAGCAACAGTGTAGGTAGAGTACGTTCCGCGGTAACATGTTACGTATCATCTTATCAAGATAACTCTCGCTTAATACCAATCACGGCGGTCGTTCTTCCAAAAATCACTAATTATCAATCAAAAACTATTCACCTTAATCCCGAATGAATCCACCTAAACGGGCTTAACTTAGCTGATCCTGAACTGTGTCAACATCACACTATTGACCTTCTGTTGGGCGCCGATACCCTTGGTGATATTATTCTCAATGGCGTGCGTACCGGTGGGCGCGGTACTCTAATAGCACAGTTAACGATATTTGATTGGATTATATCAGGTGGGAAATCGAGCTCGCCGGTAAATGATCCTTCTAATCATCACTTATAGTATTAATCACATTAGTTTACTCAAATCCTTGAATGAATCACTCACAGGATTCTGGGAGGTGGAGGAAGTGCCACAAATTACTCACCTTTCGCCAGAAGAATCAAGCTGTGAAAAACAGTTTCAAACCACATACCAACGGCTCGCAAATGGATAGTATGTAATAAGACTACTGTTCAAATCGCCTCTTCCTTTTCCAATTGGAGACACCAAATCAATTGCTACAAGGATCTTCTTAAAGAATGAATCTCGCTTGAGAAAACATTCTGAGTTGTATTTAGACTATCAAGACTTTCTATCTGAATATGAGTCCCTTTATCACATGACTCTGGATGATCATAAGCGTGACGATATGCAAGAGGTGTACATTCCTCACTTGCCCGTTATTAGAGAATCTAACCAAACCACGAAAGTACGTGTTGTTTTTAACGCTTCGTGTTCTTCGTCGAACGGTTCTTCGCTAAATGACTACTTACATGTAGGACAAAAATTACAATCCGATCTTTTTGCTCTAATTCTACGCTGGCGCTTATACAAGTACGTATATACCGCTGATATCACAAAGATGTTTAGACAGATTAGAGTCGCTGACACTGATTGTAGTTATCAACGAATAATTTGGCGAAAAAATCCCGACGAGGAACTTAAGTCCTATCTGCTCAAAACAGTCACGTATGGAACTGCATCCGCTCCCTTTCTCGCCAATCGCGTGCTAAAGCAAATTGTTTTGGATGAGGGAAAAAAGTACCCGGTTGCGGCTCCCGTTCTTGAGAATGAGTTTTTCGTGGACGACGCAATGTTTGGCAGTCACGATCAAAATCTATTAAGACAAACGCGTGATCAGCTCATCAATTTGCTAAAATCCGGACACATGGAGCTGCAAAAGTGGGCGAGTAATTCCAAGCGATTGTTGAAAGATATACCCGAGGAGAATCACGGCCTAGCCATTAGTAAAGAGTTGAAGCAGGACGAATCGGTAAAAGTCCTGGGTATTGCATGGAATCCTGCCTCGGATGTTTCGTATTTTAAAGTATCATCCGAAGCTCCAAATAAATACAGTAAACGTAGTCTACTTTCAATTCTCGCGAAAATCTACGACCCCCTAGGTTGGCTGGCTCCTGCTACGGTTGTAGGAAAATTAATTATACAATCCTTATGGAAGGTAAAATTAGGTTGGGATGACGAGCTGCCTATGGATGTTGTCAATACTTTTCGCTCTTACCACACAAACCTAAATGACCTGAATAACATTTAAATTCCTCGTTGGCTAGGAACCGCTCCGGAATCTCAAGCAATACAATTACATGGATTCTCGGATGCTTCGTCCGTAGCCTATGCAGCAGTCGTTTACATCAAGGTAGTATCAAATGATTGTCACAGGGTTTCCCTTCTTTATGCTAAAACTAAAGTTGCTCCACTATCACCTGTTAGCATCCCACGAATAGAATTGTGCGCGGCGGTTCTTCTTTGCAAGGCCATGAATTACGTTAAAGCCTCCCTGAAGCTAAATAAACCTGAAATATTTTGTTGGACTGATGCTTCTGTAGTTTTACACTGGCTTAATGCACATCCGAGTAAGTGGAAGCTCTTTATAGCTAATCGCGTGTCGTTCATTCAAACCCATCTACCAGAAGCGGAATGGCGACACGTGCCAGGAGAAGAAAATCCTGCAGACTGTGCTTCGCGCGGTATTACGGTAGAGAAGCTAAAATCATATGATCTCTGGTGGCAGGGTCCAGCGTGGCTGCATCAAAATAAAAATTTATGGCCTGATCAATCGCAATATCCGGACTCGGCTACTAATCTTGAATGTAAAGGTGAGGCAAAATTGACGTCGCAAGTTTCAAGCATCAAAGAGAAGTACTCTTGGGAGCTGATTAATACTCTATCCTCTTGGGCTAAAATATTGAGAGTCACTGCCTATTGCATTCGTTTTGTACAGCGGTGCAAGCAAATGGGCGATTCCCCTTTGCTTAAACTGTCATTGACAGGAGAAGAAATATCACTAGCAAAAGAATTTGTACTGAGGCTTGATCAGCAGCGGTGCTTTTCATCCGAAATTCAGCGTTTAAAGGAGCGCAAACCTTTAGACAAGCATAGTTCTCTGAAACGTTTGAATCCATTTCTGGACGAGAAAGGTATACTTAGGGTGGGAGGACGACTAAGAAATGCCGATTTGTCAGTATCCTGTCGATTCCCAGCAATCTTGTCAAAAGGAAGGGTATCCTACTTACTTATCGCTCACACGCATGCCATCATGTTGCACAGCGGCACGCAGTTGACCTTGCGGGTCCTACGACAGGAGTATTGGATTTTAAACGCGCGCTCTTTAGTTAAGTCATTCATACACAAATGTGTTACGTGTGTCAGACAAAAAGCTCAGGTCACTTCGCAGCTGAGTGGGGGATCTACCCGAATCCCGCGTCAGACCAAGTCCGTCCCTTCTCGCATGTGGGTATTGATTATGCCGGTCCGTATCAGGGTGAGGCGCGCGCCAGGCCGAGGAAATAAGACACAGAAGTGCTATCTGGCCGTTTTCGTCTGTTTCGCGACGCGCGCGGTTCACCTGGAGCTTGTGTCCGATTACACCACGGAGAGTTTTCTTGCGGCCTTCGACAGATTTGTATCGCGCCGCGGATTGCCTTCTTGTGTATACTCGGACAACGGCACCAATTTTAAAGGCGCCGAGAACGAGCTCAGATCACAGCTTCGCCACGTGAGAACGGATGTTGATCTGAGAAATCATTTCGCTTCTGAGGAAATCACGTGGAAGTTTACCCCTCCCGGGGCCCCACATTTCGAGGGGCTCTGGGAGGCGGGAGTGAAAAGCGTGAAATTTCATTTACGACTAATTATGGGGGAGTTCAAGCCAACATTCGAAGAATTCAATACGATCCTATGTAAAGTAGAATGTTGCCTGAATTCGAGCCCTATTCATGCCCTGAACGATGATCCAGAATCATTTGATACACTCACACCAGGACATTTTTTGACTGGCGCGTCATTGAAAGCGGTACCTACGCCCACGCTATTAGAACTATCTGCAAATCGCTTGTCTCGCTGGCAAGCCGTGCAGGGTATTACGGAAAGATTTTGGAAGGTTTGGTCAACGGACTACTTAAATTCCCTTCAAATGCACTACAAGTGGCTCAAAAGTAAGCCGAATCTCGCTATCAACGATTTAGTTTTGATTAAGAATCCCAACCTCCCGCCCACCAAGTGGGAGCTTGGAAGAATAATAAAGATACATACAGGGACGGATAAGTTAGTACGAGTAGTTCAAGTGAAAACTGCAAATTCAGTATACACTCGTCCCATATCGAGAATCTGTTTACTACCAAGCGC